TGTTTAACTTCTAATAGCTGTCATAGTCTGACCGATGAAAGGAACATTTTTGTTGTTTTTGAGGAGATAAAATAAAAATCAAAACCTGATTTTTTTGAGGATTCGGAAAAAAATCTGGCGTATGTACATTTTATCTGAGCAGGATTACATCAATGTTACCATTATATGGTAACTAAACATTTTATGTTTTGATAAAAATTTAACTGGCCTTTTTTTTGTCTAGACTTCGTATATCCATTTCAACTAATTTCCTTAAACTTATTCTAAGTAAATTTATTGCCTATATCTTTTGTATGTCACAATGACTTAACCTTACCTTAAATATTTACAAATTGAAAATTATATGAAAAATTAAGTAATTCTCAACAATTATACCACAAAATGATTTCATTAATAGCACATATAATTCACATTAATTTATGTCAATTGGGGCGAGTTTAAAGCAATCCATGTCGTAGGAAAAGTAATTCATTAGCAAAAATACTTATTTGAATCTGGCCAACAAATCAAATGGGAATAACAGTCATCTAGTAATTTATATGTGGCTTGATAACAAACCACACACACACGCGCACACAACGACAACAACACATAATTGTAGTTTAGAAAAGCCACAATCGCACACACACAAAATATCAATTTCAATTAATATTTCATTTTAATTTTCTCTAATGAAAGTTTATTGCGTCAGAATATAATTGCAATTAGTGTTTATGTGTGCGTGTGTTACTACGAGAACTACTATTCAGCAGAACAGTGGCACAGATAAGGCTTTCTGTGTAGAAGGCGAAATTTATGAAACCCATAGAAAGACTTTAGCTTATATTTTATGAAATGTGCCTAATCCTCTTTGCCAAAAATAAGCTTTCTACGCCACTTCAGTAAGTCAAGGTAAAAATGATGTCATATCTATGCCACAAAGATTTCCTACTAATAACCTGATTTAAATCTTAAATCATATATGCCCACACATACACACACCCATGCATACAGTCACACAGAAGGTTAAGAACAATGAAATTGTCAAGACATTGTAGCATCAAGATTACTTGAGAAGAAGACAAAAAAAACTTCAAGGTATTTCCCATGAAATTAAATTCCATTAAATTGAAATTCTTGGAAAAGTGCCTAGAAACACACATACACACTCACTCACACCGAACTTTTCTCTCTATTTTCATTTGCAAGAATTCAAATTCAATTAAGATTTTGCACCTGTTTTAAGTTGTTTCGAGATTTGTTCATTTCTAAGTCTATGACAAGGTTTTTGAGCATGTAAAGTTGTGTTGTTTTTTTATTGTTGTTGTTCGTGTAACAAAAGAGGCTGTGTTCTTTCAGACAAATTTTACTTCTGTCTAAAGTTGACCAAGCATTGTCCTTTAAATGTCCAATTTATAGTTATGTAGGTTAGCTTTGAGGTTGCTGCTGTTGTGTTACTATTGTTCTCATTGTTGTTGTTATTGTCAATGCTGGTCCTTGGTTAAACTTAAATGTTGTGCAACAATTACTCTTTTGTCTTATCATCATCGTCGTCATATGTATCCTGGTGTTGTCATTAACATTGTCGTTCTCCTGCTGGTAATGTCCTACTAGAGTGCCTTTAATTCGTTTGTGTGTATAGGTGATTATACATGCGTGTGAGTTTTAAAGGTATTATGCATGTTGCTTAACCTGAATGTGTCAACACCTGATAAACATCTATGCTGTAGCTTATGTGCAGTAGAAGTTGTATGTAGTAAAATATATATACAGTACTTAATTCTTGTATAGGGCTTCGAAAGGCAGATATAGAGAATGAGGTAGAATGTTTGAGAAATTGGGTAATTGATGTAAAGAATATTTTTTCACGAAAATGTAAAGAATATTTATTTAAAAAAACTAATTGAATATTGGTGATATTAATAAAATTGACACCATACCACATTAGTTAGTCAAAATTTAATTTTGGAAGGACTAACAATATTTTTTAATAATTTAGTTAAGATATGCTGGGTTTTTGGTTTTTAAAGGATATATATGGATTTTAAGAGAATACGTGGATATTTTAACAAGTGTTGATATTTTTATTCAAAGGACCAACCATTTTGGATTTTTAAAGAATATATTTTTAAGAGCCAAAATTTAAATCCGTTCTTTTACTGGATTTGGTTGTATGTGCAAAATTCCCTGTCAAATGGACGGACGTGAACAATATCGTATTAAACCTCAAATAAATCTTTAAAATATTTGTTAAAAACAATTTCTATTATCAATTGAATATAAATCGATTTTTGGCATTCCCAAATACCGAATATTCCATAGGGAAGTTTTAAAGCCTAGAATGATAAAATTACAGTTAATTTAGTTTAAACTGTTCAAACTTTCGAAATATTTACATTCCAAACAACTTTGTCTTTGAAAATATTTTCCATAAAAACCCATGCTTCAATTGATCCTTCAACAAATATTCATAAAAAATCCACGCCTCTCGTTGGTCTTGATAAATGTTATTTTTAAAAAGTTTGTTACTTAAAAATATATTGTATAAAACTCCATACCTAAATTGGCCTTTGAAAAAATAGTCTTCTAAAATACACGCCTCCCTTTGGCCTTGAACAATTTGACTTTAAAACCAGTAAGGAAAGTAGTAAAGTCGGACGGGGCCGACTATATGATACCCTTCACCACTATGGGTATATTAAACAGGGCTATTAATATGAAATTGGATGATATAAAATATGTGATATTTATCTAAATGTGAATCCACCTAGATCTATCCATAAAGTATGTAAATCGACTTCAAACAAATATAAATAGGTCATCCGTTGGGCTATGTCTGTACTTCTAGAAAACGCAACTACGTAATTCTATGCTCAATTTTGTACGTTGTGCAAAATTTGCTGTCAATCTGACATCAATCGGGCGAAAATATATATGGAAGCTCTATCCAAATATTAAACGATTTCAAACAAATTTGTCACAGGTTAGGTTATACTAATTTCAGAACGTTTTGTTCCTATTTGTTCCTTGGTGCGTCAATTACTTAAAATCAATCTATAATAAAAGGGAGCTATATCTAAATCTGGACCGATTTTCACGAAACAAGGCAGACATCACTCTAGGCTCAATTCAGTACGTTCTGCCAAATTTCGTGCAAATCGAAAGATATATAGGGACTTTGGTGCACCATTTACATGAAATCGGACGAAACTATATGTGGGAGCTATATAGAAATCTGGACCGATGTTCTCGAAACCTTGCAGACATCACTCTAGGCTCAATTCAGTACGTTATGCCAAATTTCGTGCAAATCGAAAGATATATAGGGCCTTTGGTGCACCATTTACATGAAATCGGACGAAATTATATATGGGAGCTATATCTAAATCTGGACCGATTTTCTCGAAACATCTAGGCTCAATTCAGTACGTTCTGCCAAATTTCATGCAAATCGAAATGTATATACGAAATTTGGTGCTCCATAGAATCGGACAAAACTATGTATGGGAGCTATATTTAAATCTGAAACGATTTTCTCGAAACATGGCACACATCATTCTCGACCTAATTTAGTACTCAATGGCAAATTTCGTGCAAATCGAATGATTTATAGGGACTTTGGTGCACCATTTACTTTAAATCGGACGAAACTATATATGGGAGCTATATCTAAATCAGGATCGATTTTCATGAAACTTGGTAGACATCATTCTAGGCTCAATTAAGTACGTTATGCCAAATTTCGTGCAAGTCGAAGGATATATAGGGACTTTGGTGCACCATTTACATGAAATCGGACGAAACTATATATGGGAGCTATATCTAAATCTGGACCGATTTTCTCGAAACTTGGCAGACATCATTCAGCACCTAATTCAGTACTCTATGCCAAATTTCATGCAAATCGAAACATATAGAAGGACTTTGGTGCACCATTACCTTAAATCGGACGAAACTATATATGGGAGCTATATCTAAATCTGAACCGATTTTTCCGAATTTCAATAGGATTCGTCATTGGACCAAATTAGTGACTTGTGCCAAATTTCATCCAAATCGGATCATAAATGCGACCTGTACTTTGTTTACAATTTAACATCTACAGACGGATGGACATGCATAAATCGACTCAGAAAGTAATTCTATGCATATTCTCAAAAGGAACCATGTGTCTATCTCGTTTCCTTTTGCCTGTTACAAACATATGCACAAAGACATAATACCCTGTACCACAGTGTGGTGAAGGGTATAAATATTTTAAAGGTGTTGGTCATTAGTCATTAAAAAGTGGTCATTAAAAAATCCTTTTAAAATCTTCTTTTTTAATCTACGCCTCCATTGGCCACTTACAAATATTCCGACAGCCACTTACAAAAACATCCCACTAAGCAAACTAAACTTGGGTTTTATAAAATATTTTCTATAAAATATCCAAATCTCTGTTTAAAAATCCACTATTTATGATGGGTGTTCAAATTGCTTTCTGAGACAAATAAACCAAAAATTAGGAAAATATTTTTCAAATGGCAAAAAACTTATTTTTTTTTTAAATTACAAATCTCTGCCACCTACCTTTTTCGTCCAATATATAGATGGTACTGGATTGCCAGATCCTTTACATTCCATTGTGACGGGGCCACCTTTGCGAGCTTGTAAATTACCCGAGGTGGGTGTGGCACGAACACTAGGTGGTACTGAAAAAAATACACGGAGAAAAATTTATATTTTCAAATACATATAACAATTCTATCTTCGTTTTGTTTAGTTTTCAAATACATATAACAGTTCTATTTTCATTTTGCTTTTTTATTATTTTGTTCCGTACTTACCCAATATTTCCACAGTATGCACTTGATCACGATTTACTTTGTCACTAATTTGACACACATAATCACCGGCATCTTGTGGCTCCAAATCGGATATTTCTAAGTTATAACCATCTATCAGTCTTATACGTTCATCCCGTGTCACCATTATGTTGGAGGCTGTTAGGACATTAATGCCACGACGCCACAATAACACAAAGTTTCCTGTAAGAAGTGAAAAAAACAAGGACGATAGTCAGCATTAAAATCTCATGTGATTTATGGGAAGGAGACAAAAAGAGGGATATTTGTAGTTTTTGGAATTTATTTTCTTATAAGAATAATATGTGATATTGGATAGTTAGATATAAATGTGTTGTTTGTGATGATAGTTACAAGCCTGGCGATAACATAAGGGAAAGGCGGCTAGTAAAATAAATCCCAGGACGAAAATATGTGTTGAGAATATTTATGTCGTACAGATGTTAAGGAGTATGTTTTCCTTCAGCAATCCATGGAGTAAATGGTAAAAAGAATCGTATTATTTTTTTACTTGATAAAATATTCTTTAAGAATCCTAGGCCGATGTTAGTTTTAGGAAAATATTCTTAAAAATCTAGCCTTCGGCTTGTTTCCTAAACAAATTTTTGTTTTGGCCCCTGAATAAAAAAATACTTTACCCCGGCCATTATACACAACCATAAGGAAGAGTAAATTTGAAGACAATGACTCCATTGTCAAAAGGAGCTCCGGACAATAAAATACAAATTAATTTAATGCGCTATTAAATGAGGCAAATAAAATTGGCCATTCGGTGGTACATAAAATGTGAAACCGAAAATAATTTCTAAATCGAATGAAAGAAATAAAGGCGATTAAAGGTCAGTGTTTAATTTCCTGCTACACTTTATTTTAAATTCCACACTTTATTTAAATATCTCACACTTTTCCCTATTACCCCCATCAACCATTGATTCCGCTCTCTCGACTTCCTCATTATTTGTGCAATTAATACTAGCTAAATAGAAATTAAAACCAAAAGATAGACACGGATAAACAAAGCATGAAAAGTATTAAATTTCATTAAAATCCAATTTATAGTCGTACAATTGTAGAAGTACAACAAAAAAAAGAAAAGCTACGCGGAAGCAAAATACCATATCCCCTCCTCAACCCATCACACTCGACCCGCAACAAGCTTAAGCTTATGAAAAACCCATAGAAAAACAAATAAAAAAGTCGGCAGTGAGGGATAGAAATCTTCACGATTTGTTGAATTAAAAACACATAAAAAAGGATTTACATGATGGTCATTTTATATCCTCTATTTTATTCCCTGTGTTTACTTTACAGTTTATACTGGTAAAAATGTGTACACAAAAAAAAAGAAGAGAAATCAATGATTTTTTGTCTCCTTCCATTCGCCTTTATCTTTGTTTGCATTAAAAACTAATAAAAGTATTGAATTGTAAAATAGCTAACAAAACGGGTTTGGGTCATAATTCTAGGAAGTCACTCACACCATTTCCTCCGTCTACCATTACAACTCAAAGGGGTAAACAGATAAACAAACAAACCGTGAGGGCGTGGGTGTATTTGTAGTTTGTCTTTGTATTTAATTTCTATATTTGACATTTAATTTGTTTTATTGGATTAAATTGCATTGCAGCCAGTCAGGTGAAATAAAACAGACGCGAACAATGGCCAAACTATTAGCAATGCTTCCCTACATGTTTATTTATAACTCTAAAAGTCATTATCTAGTGTAGGCAGACATAAGTTGTTGGTGTTGTTTTGGTCTTTATATGTTTTAAGTTGTTCTTTTTTCAAAATAAAACGAATCGTTTCTAGTAAACGTATTCTAATTGTCCTTCAAAAAATATTCTTTAAAAAATCTATTTTACGCTTCAAATAATCCTTAAGACTTCAACGCTATAAATAGTCCTTGAAAAAGATGCTTTAAAAAACTACGCTTTTTTTTTTGAAAAAATATTCTTTAAATAATCAACGCTTCATGTAGTCCCTAAAAATATATTATTTAAAAAAAATAATCATTGAAAACTATTCTTCAAAAAATATACGCTGCAAGTAGTCCTGTAGAAAATATTCTTTAAAAATTTTACGCTTCAAATAGTCCTTGAAAAATATTTTTAAATCAGTGAGCGGAACAGTATAGTCGGACGGGTCCGACCATACGATACCCTACACAACTATATATTGACTTCAAAAAAACACAAAAAATTAACTTTTCCGCCAACTTCATCTCAAAATTATTATCTGACCGTAATCGAAAATTATAGGCTTTGTCCTTGACCATATCTGGAACCTCATGGAAAATTTCAAAGCGATTAGCGCTATATTTCCGTCCTCTAGTGTGGTAATGGGTTACTAAATAATCCGATTACATACGATTATATAATTGGTATCAATTTAAAGGCCAAGCACTCCTCTTGGATATACTATAAACTTCTCGGGTCTATGTCCTTCAGGAGTAAATATATACGCTATAGAATACAAATTTTGTAATTTTTCCCACAAAAGTCAGGGTCCTTTTGACCCACTAAATATTGACCGATCTTTATGAAAACAGGCATGCTTATTCTTTGGCCCGATCCCCTTTCTCCATGCAAAAATTCGCGGTGTGTGGGCCATAATTGCGGCCTCTGGAGCGACCAGAAAAGCCGACAAAAAAGTTTTTGTTCCGTTTCGTCCCCTTAATATGAACCGATCTTTACCAAAAACAATAGGGGTCTTCATTGGCCAGAACCGATCCTACATGCAAAATTTCGTGAAGACTGGTCCATAACTGTGGACTGTATCGTGTTTACAAATTATAATGGACAGACGGACGGACACACATGTCTAGATCGAAGCAGCTAGTCGAGATATGACGATCGGTATACTTAAAGGTAGGTCTAGCTCCAATATTTCGCGGCGTTACACACTTTTGACAACATAGTTGTGTAGGATAAAAAAAACTACACTTCAAATAGTCATTCAAAAAACATTCCTTAAAAATCTACGATTCAAATAGTCCTTTAAAACATCTACTTTTTAAATAGTCCTTGAAAACATATTCTTTAAAAAATCTACACTTCAAATAGACCCTAGAAACATATTCTTTAATTTAAAAGCTTTAAATCAGTGAAAACAGAAAAAATTGAATTTGAAAATTTTTCACAAAATAAACGATGCTTCTGTTTGAGCTTGTTTCTTTCGTCTCTGAAAAATATTCATAAAAATAAAGGCTTCAGCTTGACCCTTGAAAAAAATACGCCTACAAAATATTCTTAAAGGATTTATTTTTTTCTTTTAATTCAATCTTCTTTCTAAATCTGACTCGATTTTCTTGAATTTCAATAGGGTTCGCCATTGGGCCGAATAAGTGACTTGTACCAAATTTTATCCCAATCGGATCATAAATGCGACCTGTACCATGTTTACCATTTAAAATCTACAGACGGACGGACAGACGGACGGACATGCATACATCGACTTAAAAAGTGATTCTATGCATATTCTCAAAAGGAACCATGGGTCTATCTCGTTTCATTTTGCCTGTTACAAACATATGCACAAAGACATAATACCCTGTACCACAGTGTGGTGAAAGGTATAAAAATATATGCTCCTGTTTGGTCTCAGGAAAATATATTATTGTGGTCTTTGGAAAAATGTGCCTATGTGTGATCCTTGAAACAATAATCTTATAAAAATCCACGCCTATTTTTGATCCATGAAGCAATAATCTTTTAAAAAAATCCATGATTCTTTTTTGAATCCTTGAAACAATAAGCTTTAAAAAATCCCAGTCTCTTTCTGATTCTTGAAACAATAATCTATAAAAAATCCACGCCTCTTCTTGATCGTTGAAGCAATAATCTTTAAAAAAATCCATGCCTCTTTTTGACCCATGAAACAAAAATCTGTGTGGATCTTAAAAAAATATGCTGTAAAAATCCCAAATATTTAAAAAGTCCATGTCGCTGTTTGGTCTTTAATCCTCCCAAATATTTAAAAAATAATACAAAATAAAAACATTCACGATTCAGTTTGTTCCTGGAAAATATCCTTCTTGATTTTTGTGTTTAGAAATACATTGGCCTCTTTATTATTGAATTTTATGGTCAATTAGTTTGCTGGTCTCAAATCATTTACAAATACTCTCTCGTTACTTTTATGTGGCAGTTTAATGGTCGTAATTCTTGTTTCTTAGCAATAAATGGTAAGAGCTATTGCTTTATTGATGCTTCTGAAAATGTGTGTCTAAAACATGTTGTTCAACTCACTCCCCTCCCTCCTGGCCTTCTCTCTTAAAACCATATTAAAATACTTGTTTATAGTTGCTACTGTTACACACTAAATACATTTAACTCGTACTTTTTATTTAGTTTTCCTGGTTATACAAATCTTCTACTACTTTTATTTCATTCATTTCATTTATTTGTACATTTGATTGTATTCATTCTCTATACTTCAACCAGAAGAAGTACCCTTTTGATTCTTTAATTTCATTAGATTTCTTGTTATTGTTTTTTCTAAAGTTTTTTTTCTGTTTTTTTTTTTATATTTTCCTACTCTACTCTCATGATTGGCAGTTCAGGTTGATTTTTCTAATACCAGTTTCAGGTTGTTGTTTTTTTTTTCTTCCAGGCATTTCTTGAAAAAACAAAAAAAGCAGGAAAAAAAGAGTTGATTTGATTAAAAGTTAATCTTGAGTGTAAAGCAAAAGAATCAAATTGTATTGTTTTAACTAATCCTTTTAAGCTCAATGGCAATGTGTGTGTGTGCGTGTATGTGTGTATTTTCTTGATTACTTAGGTGCTGATGTATGGTGATTTGTTTTCTATAGCAGAAATCAGAGCAAAAAGGAAATGAAAGGATATAGTTTGATTGATTAGTGCTGCTCTGAGTCAACTATTCATCTTAAATCATCGGTGAAAGAAACTCAATTGGGTAAATTTTTTAGCTTCGTAGAAAATGCACATTGAAAGATTTGTTTCGTTTGAAGAATTGATTTTTATGTTGTAAATTGAATTTTATATAAATATATACAGTGAGTGTAATAAGTATTTTGCCTCAATAAAAATTTGAAAAAAAATCCAATATATACGCCTAAAGCCAGCAAACTAAATATGTAAAATGAATGTATAATGGAGTATGTTTGTGGACATATTTAGATCGTATTTCTGCAAGAATCACTGCGAAAGACCTATTGGTCTCGA